AGAAAGATAACGCCCCGCCTGCCCCACCGCGTGGTCCGACGTGTCTCGTCATGTAGGTTTCACGAATGGTTCGGAGGATATATCTGTATGTATTTTATCGTGTGCGACTGCTACCGCCATACGGCAGTGGTTCGAATATAAACTGTTGAAGCGCGTGTAATTTGCTAATTGAGTGAGTGTTGCTGAAGAATAGCCGTTTATGGCGTCCAGCGGTAGCGTTACCATTTCCGTGTCTTTATTTATTTATGTTACTTTAGATTAACGACCGGTCATATCCATCGTACCGTGGTGCGGCGCCTCGCGGTGTCCCTCAGTCTTATCCATTATTTTTGGTGCGAATGAGGGTACGTTCTTTACTTAATCTTACTTCATTGCTGTATACTTATTATACCTGTAGACTAGTACTTACAAGCCCTGTTTCTCCCCCGAACTTATTCAAGTGCGCGTCTACGCGTCTACAACGGTTGTGGCATTTCCTCGCGACCAATTACTTCCTAAGCAGAGGTCTGTTATGTTGAGAAAGCTCTTTGCTTTAAAAAACAGCTTTGTCTTGGCTTTGTCCGGCGAAGCTTAAGTTGCTCCGGCCGCCGGTTATGTCCACTCTTCGTGCGTGAATTCTGTCAAGCTGGCAGATGCTGTGATCTTTTTAAAAGGTCCCATAGTGCTGCTCCTAAGTCTTAATCCACGTGCCTCGACTCAACGGTCTTACTGGGTCACCCAGCGCATACCGGTGCCTCGAAACGTCAGTTTCAACAATCGAAAGATCGTCGTCCTGGGCTCCCGCTCGATCGGTAAACAAGCGCATTTTTTCTCCCACACACTTACATTTCCCTCATCTCACTCCCGCCCACAGGCAAATCCTCGCTTGTGAAACGGCTCATAAATGGCGCCTTCTCTGAGATATACCACCCCACCATCGAGACGACGGTGACCAAGACGATAACGTACAATGGCACGGAGTACCCATGCGAAATCATAGATACGGAGGGGCAGGCCAGCCTTCCTGTTCTCCTGCCTATAATACCTATCTCTTCCCCAGGAGGAATTCTCTCGCCTGAAACCGCACCACGCCATCGGCATACACGGCTACATATTAGTCCACTCAATCATCCGCCGCGAGTCGTTTGACATGATCCAAATCATACACGACAAGATCTTGAACTACTCTGGGCTCCCCGAAATTCCTACAGTTATTGTGGGTACCGAGGCGGATCGGGAGTCGCGGTTCGTGAAGCTCATAATTCTGAATTTCAATTATGGTAATTTCGTACAGCCGCCAAGTATCCTTGGCGGATGTCGAGCAGCTCGCCGCGAACGACAAGGCCGCGTGGATCGAGCAGTGCATTACGCAACGAGAACGTCGGTGAGTAGCCGCTTGTTTACAGAATGAATATATCCATGCACGACATTACAGACGAGGCTTTCACGCTTTGTCTGGGTGGAATAGAGAAGAGGAATGTACACCCTGTGCAACGTTACGGTGAACCACGTGCACGACGCTCGCGGATGGAGCTATCAGATTTGCCATAATGTGGAATGGGATGGCCGTTAGGAAAACCGACGAATTTTCTGCTGGGATCCGTCCAAAGAAAAGACAAAAAACATCGCATTAATTTGGCAAAAAATGCAGATCAAGTCCTTCCAAACGAAACTGTCATCCTTAATAAGACATCCCTCATGTATCCATTCTTCCCCAAATGGAGGATTGAGTCCACAATTGGAACCGCGATCGTGAGCGCGATGGTTGAAAACATGTGGCTGTGCAGGTTGGTTCAAAATATGCTTTCTCTGTTCAAAAGAGCGAACGTTCCGAGTAATATATGAGTTATGTCCGATCTAGATTATAAAAAATACAGCTGTGTTACAGTTCCCGAAAATAAAAGGAAAAAGAAAGACGGAAAGAATATCCAACTGTTACAATGGCCGAACTTGTCCACCCTCCTAATACATAGGGCTTAGTCCGATGTTCGCACTTCCGGGTGTCCTCCCATTGGTAGGGGGTTAAAGGGCGACGGTTCGGGGTCTTAAGGCCTTCTACCGCGTTTGCACCACTCCCAGATCCCTAAACACAGTGGATCATATTCAGCGCGTTTCGAGAAGAAGCAAAAAACAACTTGCGGCTATCTTTCAAACCTTCGCCTTCGCCTCGAGCGGGTCAAACTGCTCCCATCAGCGCGCTATTAAATAATGCCCAACGAAACTCACCTCGAAGGCTGACGCCAGCAGCCCACCGCCGTCGTGTGTTGGGGGAAGGTTTTCGCGGCCCGAGTTTTCGAGCTGTGAGGGAACGTCAAGCGCGTGTATGCTTCAGTGGAAGTAAAACACGTACAAATTCGAACAATCCATTCCCGCTCCCTGCTCTAGAGCTTCCACTGGCTGTTGGAGCCAGGGCGCCGACGCGAAAGATGGATCTTTCGAGCTGTCACATGTTCGCGTTTAAGTGCACGCATAAATGGCAATAAAAGGAGAGGGTTCACAGCGTAAAGCATATCGTCCTCCTCGCCTGCGAGCTTGATCTCGGCGTAAAGAGTGAAGGCCCCCGGAGAGATTTACGGCATCTGAACAAGCCCATAATGTGTAGGGTGCAGAGCAGCGAAGGCAAACGGATACATACCGAGGCATCCCCATCGTAACGGGGCTCGCGCTCAAGCGATGCTTCCTAGTGATCTAATTAGAATGTTATCAAACTTTCAGCGCGGATTCAATTCACCACGAGCTCCGCTAACATGCGGTTTGCATTTCTGTCCGCCTGCGCCAAGTCAATATGTTCCGAGAGTGAATTACCATCTGTTTTCGAGTCCGAATCCGTTTTGAACTACATAACATTCATCAAAATGCAAATCACTCGGCTGTGAAAAGTGCGACTCACGAACTCGTAGATATCCTCTGAGAGGATTTCTCGGTGGTAGGACACTGAGGTTTGCGGAACGAACGAAGTGGGAGAGACTGCGGGCTCCTAAATAGACGGTCAAAACCGTAGACGTGAGGAGGAAGGGTGAAGAAAGGCTCCAATACCATGAATGCCTCCGCATTTTCTTCCTATTTGTTCGATTAAATGCGCCCTGCATGATGTTAGACAGGAAAGCGTACCGTTAGGACGAGGCCGGAGTATATCACGCTTGTCTCTCCTTCAGACGCAAAACTCGAATCGGAGGATGGGCTCTGGACCGGGTGAATAAATTTTGGAATGAAAGAAAATGTTTACTGACGGAGGGCGGTGAGGGAGCCGGGTTCTGCTGATCTTCCAAAGCGCTCAACAGGAACTGGTGATCTGCGCACGACGTTGAGCGTCAGTTTCAGGATGTGTGGGTTGATATAAGTACCGGCGGCTGTCCGCTTTGCAGTGGACTGTGTTTTCGAAGCCGTCTTGATATCGTTCCGATATTAATGGCTCGGCCTCTCGCACGCTACATAGCAGGCGTAAACCACGTACCTTTTCAAACTCATGTAACATTTTCCAGCAGCCGCCAACAGAGGTCCGAAAAGGGGACGCAACCACGCGGCAATCCTCGTGGTGTTATAGTTAAGGTCGGCGAGATATTTTCCGACAAATTCGTCGAAACCACGCCTGACGTCGGCCACGTCGACGAGTAGACGCGAGTCAATACGTTTCAAGACCAGCGTGAGCACGGCCTGGGACAGAACAGAATCTTTGACCATCTGCGGATAGATCCCGGGGTCAGTGCAGTAGGTACAGAAGGTACGTCAAATCAGCCTTACCTGTGCATAACCGATGGGCTTGTCAAATAAATCCAAGGTCTCCGCCATCAATAGCATCATGCCATGCTCAAGCACCGTCTTCCCTAACTGTCGGTACGCTTCCCGAGCCAGCTTTTGGGCAGAGTCGGCTGCGAAGTCCGTCGTATCTTCGGTAGTTTCCGACCAACGCGATTTGTCGAGCCATGGCAGCCGGCGGGGATGATATTCGAAGCGTGGGCAGGATTCCGTAATAAATTGAACCACGGCGTCCTGGACTTTGATCTGAATATTTGTGGGCATGACTGAAATACGGCGAGCAGATGAGCGAGTTTGAGTAGGGAAAGACCGGCTCGGAGTGGGTGATGGGCGAGATGGACAAACCCAACTTTGGAGCGTGAATAATGGGGGTGCACTGCCACTTACGGCCTTGACAACTATTCGTCCCCGTGGGGATATTAGAAGTTGTTCGGCAACATCAAGGCAACATCGCAGCACTGTTCTCGGCTAGCTAGGCGTTTAACAAGCCGAGTAATTTGCGGGCTGCAAATTAAATAAATCGGGCTTTCGTTAATATCGTATCAGCACAGGTCCGCAACGTAGAAAGGACATATAGTGACCCACAAAGAGACAATCTCTGTGTTCACTTTGGTTCAGTGGTAACCTGGTTAAACCTACATCCGGATAAATTTCAGGAGCGGGAGGTCGGAAGTTCGAATCCTCCTGGTGCCACATTTGGGGTGCCGGGCCCCCCGCTATGCGGTGCGGCGCCCGCGAGAAGCTACAGTCAGTGCAGTCTCACCATGCGATACTGGGCTTCACATCTTTTATTTTTTATTTCCTGTACATATGTTTGTTTTCCGCGAAAGAGCTCGAATACTCAAGTACCCGAATTCTTGGTGATTTGTAAGCGGCCACTGGGCTTTAGTAAATGTTATTTGATAGCCAAATCTTACACGTGGACCTGGATATTCAGGTTCTGACAGGAACCGCTTCGAACCGGAATGCCCGCTTCGTATAATATGATTGGCAGGTGAGTTCTTTATCAACTCATCGACGCAAAATTCGATGCCGCATTCCCCATTTGCTGCATCCCTCCCTAACATGACAAAGAGTTTCAATTTCTTGGGGATACAAGCGGTCCAGCGACATCGCAGCACCGTTCTGGCGTGACACGAGGTGCTTCGCAAATCGAAAAGAGCAGATTCATAAGTTGCAAATTACATTGTGCTTGGATCGTATACGAACGCGATCATCAACCTAGAAAAGACACTATATTAAACTCCCGCAGTAGAATTTTCGTGTCCACTTTGGTTCAGTGGCTGAACCTACCGCAACCGTAAATTTTCGGAAGCGGGAGGTCGGAGGTTCGAATCCTCCTGGTGTAGCACTTGGGGTGCCGGGCCCCCCGCTATGCGTTGCGCCCGCGGGAAGCTACAGTCAATGCAGTTGCCTCATGCAATACTGTACTTCACATTTTTTAAATTTTTGTCTCCCGTCTACACATCTTGGTTTCCGCGAAAGAGCTCGAATGCCCAAATATCCAAATTCTTGATGATTTGTAAGCGGTCGCTGGGCTTTTGTCATTGATAGCCAAATATTACACGGGCTCTGTCCAGCGTCTATATAAAGCAAGAATTAACAGAAACTGACGACACATTTACTCTGGACCTGGATATTCATGTTGGTCGCCGGTGGCAGAGGCCGCTTTGCGCTGGATTGCCCCGCTCCGTACAATGAATGGTTGGCAGGTGAGTTCTCACCGACGCAAAGTTCGATGCCGGAATCTCCATTTGCTACGTCCTCACTAACATGGACAATGAGTTTCAATGTCTTCACGATCAACGCCTAGCTAAAACCGTGACTGTTCACAAAATTACTTCCATTTTGTCTTTACCGTAGAATGAAACTTCCGAGAAAACAACGGATTCCTTAGCTTGACAATAACTTGAGAAAGAGAGCGACGAAGAGAATCACGTAAACTATAGTCCAACTTGTGTGCGATTCATCTCGAGATCTCCGAACCCTACGACCTCCGCCACTTGCAGGCGGAGTGTCCAGTAGAGCTGTAGACTTTGAGGGCGTCCGCCGCTGCCCCGATGGGGTCCGACAACGAGAGAAGCTGTGTCTCGGAGGCGTTCCCGGTTGTTGAATCCGCGACGGAATTTCCGATATTGAAGCTATGCTACAGACATGTTAGAATGGAGCCGGTTGCGATGATCTGAACTATACGGAATAGGCGCTGCGCAGGCAGGTTATTCCAAGGCGCTTGAAAACGCGATTGACCGACAATTCTAAGTATTGCCAGGAAACCTCGGCAGAATTCGCTCGCCGACCTGATGAACTCGGTGATCCCCGTTCAAACTGCGTGCTTTACACGGGTCCTAAATTTGGCAATTCCAGGGTGATGATGGAGCTGTCAATCATGGAGGCAGTGCCTCAGTGGTCTGCGCCCCACGGCGACTCGCTCTTCGCCTCGCACAATGGATACGAATGCGAACACGAAGTACTGCTATGATTCGCTTGGAAAAGGGTGCAAGCTTGGCCAAAACTGTCGGTTGCGGCACGACATCCTAAAGTGCGCTTGCGGGCTCGTCCTACTCGCAGATAATATTGGCCCTCACTTGGCTGGCAAACGGCACCGTGATCAGCTACTTGCAAATATGCAGCAGGCTGACCTGGCCCGGGAGTCTCAGGCCAGCTCTCGGGACAATCGGCGTTCTACAGCTGTGAGTAAAATCTATCAGTTCCGCCTGTTTTCCTCTGATGACCACACCGAAGACGGAATTTACTGTCTGCGACCGCTGCGGAAGAGGGGTCCCCACCACGGATCAAGCATCTCATGTCAAGTGGCATGACAAAATGCGGGAAAAACTTTTCTCTGATGCACGGGCTATGGCTGCTATGGCCGAAGAAGACAAAAATGCAGTCACCGTGTCTGACAAGGAGGGCATTGACTTCGGTGTAGTTGGACCAGATGATTCTGTATATATCGACATCACTATTCTCAACACTGGATCACAATCCATTGTATTGGAAACCATCTTTGTTCGCCGAGAGAACTCAAAGTTAGTGTTTGAAATCATGCATTCGTCTCCTCATATTACCCAGATTTACCGCAAAGTTGGACGGGAAATCCAGATCGGTGAAGCACAACGAAGCTCGAACGCTTTCTGTCGAGTTTCACCCATCATTTGACGGCGAATATACAGATGTTTTGGAACTAGTCTTTGTGGACACCTCAACGAGACGCCGGTTTCTGATTACGCGGAAACTTTGTGCTGTCGTCGGTTCAAAGGAAGATTACCAACAACTGAAACCTAAATCTGCGTATACTTGACATAGGCCAGCGCCGTTCCAATTCGATGGTCCTATTGTCCGCAGCCTACGCCCTCCGACATGGGGGCCGATCAATTGGGCTTCACGGCTCCCCGAATTCGAGCCGCCCGAAAATTTAATCCAGGTTGCATTTGGCCGCCATTCGGGCTCGAATACAAAGACGGTTCTACAAGCAGTAAAAGACTTTTTGCCCGACACCTTTACATTGAATACATATACACAGCATTTTCAAGTGATGCTGTACATCGAAGGGGAACAGATGAGGCATGTTTTGAAAACAAGAATTCTCGGACTATATTTATGTGTCACATTTTTAGGCGGGATCTGGAAATGTACGCAATGACGGACGTGGAGCTCAAGCCCAACCATCCCCGATACGAGTTAGTCGTTTAACTGCTTATAGTTTTAGGAGCTCATTTCGGCATAGTCTCCAAGTACAAGGTTTGAAGGAGGGCCGTCCCAGCGTGATGGTGGGGGACACTATCTTAGTCAGGTTGAATTCTTTCCGTATCGATATGGAATGAACCTGTGGTCTTTTAGACATACTGGGGTGGTTGACGGACCATGGTTTGAAGGACGTGTTCATAAACTCCACCAAAGTCATCTGAGTCTTCGTTTCGACGAGAAATTCAACACCAACAAGGGAACCAAGTTTGATGTCAAGTTCACCTTGAATCGCTTACCGCATCGAAGAATGCATCAAGCATTGACAAATTCTTTCAAAGAATCACGCATTTTCTTTCCGAGAGCTGAACACCTGCTTCGAAACCAAAAAGTCCTGGCTTTCCAGCGCAATAGTGTTTCGCCGGTGAACCGACGCATTGTGGAGGCCCCCGAGCAGTTTGAAACGGTTGTAGCGATTGTACACCAACCTCCAGGAAGCCCCCCTTTTGTCGTATTCGGGCCGTGAGTTGTTCGTTTGTTTATCAGGAACATTTGAACTGATAATCGCTTTCAGTCCAGGGACAGGCAAAACTGTAACAATTGTGGAGACAATCCGCCAATTATTGCTTCGGGATTCCGAAGCCTGCATTCTGGCCTGTGCACCAAGCAATTCGGCAGCAGATCTCATCGCTCGAAATCTCATGTCCCTGGGGACAACACAGCTCTTCCGGCTTAATTCTCTTTCGCGTAAGTACGAGAACCTCCCCAAGGACCTTGTAAAGTTCTCGGCGGTGAACGACAACTCGACTTTCGTATTCCCAGTGGTGGAGGACTTGCGAAAATATCGTGTCATAGTTTCGACCTGCCTTTCCGGAGGAGTTCCAGCGAACCTCGGTCTGAAACGGGGCCACTTCAGTCACATTTTTTGCGATGAAGCCGGTAAGCCTGTCTTAATTTTATTATTATTTTGTCTGACTCGGTTGATAGGTCAAGCGACTGAGCCGGAGATTATGGTTGCTGTAAAGAGTATTGCCGATGAATCCACGAATATCGTGTTGGCGGGAGACAACAAGCAGCTCGGGCCCATAGTTCATTCATGGATAGCACAATCTCTGGGTCTCAACGTTAGCTACTTGGCACGCATCATGGAACGGGAATTGTATAGCCTGGACACCCAAACCACAATGGGTGGAAGAGGGATTACGTGCGTATCCGTTCTAGTTTTATGCCTGGTCTGACCTCTTGACCCAGTATCGTTAAATTGTTGAACAATTTCAGATCGCATCCAGACATACTGCAGTTCTCTAATCAGCAATTTTACAACAGTGAGCTCATTGCGTGTGGAAATCCGGACCTCACCCGGAGTCTGGAAAACTCGGACGAGCTACCGACCAAAAAGTTTCCCTTGATATTCCACGGGATCCTCGGCAAGGACGACCGAGAAGGATCGTCTCCTTCTTTCTTTAACATCGGGGAAGCTACTCTAGTCAAGAAATATGCAGCTTCCCTCGTCAATAATAGAAAGCTCCGTATCCGTAAGCGACTTCGTTGCACAGAATTCCCTCTCTTGAAATTTTGATATAGGACCGGAGGAAATTGGTGTCATCACTCCATACCATGCTCAACGACGCAAAATCATTGATCTTTTTTATCGAGATCCTAAACTGAGAGGTATAACTGTGGGAAGCGTCGAAGAATTTCAAGGACAGGTATGTGACTCTATATCGACGTGTTGGCCTCAGTCTAAGGGACACATTCAAGGAACGCCGAGTCAATATTAGTCTCTCCTGACTGACACTTTATCATCAGTTCTAACTCGTACCTCTTTTGATATAAAGGTGATTATCATGTCAACAGTGCGGAGCAACACAAATTATGTTGAGTCCGATATTCGGCGAACCTTGGGCTTCGTTGCAAATCCTCAGCGATTCAACGGTTAGTCAATACTCATGATATGAACATTGCTCTTGACTTCTCTACAGTGGCCATTACTCGAGCTCAGGCACTCCTCATCGTCATCGGAAATCCGGATATTCTGGCGTTTGACCCACTATGGCGCGCTTTCCTGAATTATATTCACTCCCGCGGAGGCTGGAGAGGCAGAAGAATGTCATGGAATCCAGAGGATCCGCTCGTTTTTGGATATGATGCAGAGATGAAAAGGAGGGCTGAAACTGAGGCGGAAGAAATGATGGCGCGACTAAAATCGCTAATCGCGCAAAAGAACGAAGGGGCAGAGTTAGACTTTGACATTTCTGACGATGAACTGGATATGGGGTTAGACGGAGCGGTTCGATGGGATGCAGATTGATTTCAAACAGTAACAATACGTCATTTTGGCCCAGGTGCTGTGATGAACCTTCATCAGGAAAATCCAAAATGGCCCCATAGCCGGAGGGTGTTTATGGGACGCTACAAGGTGCTATGAGGTGCTATAAGACTCTTCGCACACTATGGCAAGCTATGGAGAGCTATGGGGAGCTATGAAGAGCTATAAAAGTTGCTGCTACAGCTATGACATTCTATTGTTGTCTATCAAATAGTCCAGTGAGCACTACATAGCACTTTATAGTAACTGGCTGGAACTATATAGTGCTATGTAGCAGGTCCCAGAAAATATAGGTAGCACCGAGCATTTCACACAATGCTAGGTGTTTATATAAAT